AAGTATACTAGTACACTGATATGTGTATACTTGCTACATAAAGTATACTTGAAAATATACTTGAATTTACTTAAGTATACTTAATAAAATAAATTTGAAGTATACTACTTTTTGGTAAGGGTACTCAGTGGTCACTCAGGAGCCCTGACCTGAATAAGCCGTCCTCAGGAATTTTAAAACAGGATTACCTGGCATCCCACTAAATGAATTTGCTGAGTACAATGTCTACAAAAAGCCGCTAAAAACCGAGCAAATGGACTGTTTGCGAAAATGCCAAAGCTGTGGAAGTCTGATTAAGACATGGGCTTCAGTCCTGTTTGATCTGAGCGCATCAAAGGCTCCTTTACACACGCTTCATTTTACACCACTGTAGGTTTTGGATGTACAATTAAAACTAAGCCAATAGACAAAGGGATGGGGATGAACCCTGCCAATTCGCGTTTAATGAAGTGTATTGAGCGTTTGTCCTGTGGTCGTCTATTACAACAACATCAAAGACATTGATTTGGGAGTTATCCCAGAGTATTGGCCAGATGGACACTTTGGAATTGTTAAATAATTGGCGCGTTTTATGTCCACCGAAATGTCATATTACCATGATACAATTGCTGTTCATTTAATGTCTTTTCAGATTGGAGTATATAGCGACTGTATAGCGACTGAACTGTCTCAAATCTATTAGTTAGGGGGTCACCTAGCTACTCAATAGAGAAATAAATGTAGGCTGTCTTTTGATAAAGATACATATGAACACATGGGTTGCTCAATTAATTTGGATAGTATTAAAATGTTAGAAGCGAGATTATTCCGGTAATTATTTTATTCTGTTCTGCTCAAATCTTTATAATCAGATCAATAGATGAACGATGTCACCTAAGAGCGTCACGTTCTTATCTCAGATTGCTAATCACTCACTATTTGTTTAAAAGCACAGACTGAATGATAATTAATTCGGTAAACGTCTCACTTCTTCTTATTTGCATATTCACTTTGATCTTCTGCACTTGTTTTATCAAACGCATTTCAAAGGGCCCCCATCACGGTTATGACTCAATTTCTGCAAAATCTTTACTGCATTTCTAACATGGAATATACAAACTCACTCTGAAAAAAAAACAAAAAAAACGTGAAGCTATGAAGAATGAATATATGGATATTAATGTTTAAATGTCCAATGACTGACATCCAGAAGTGATTTGAATTATTTAATAATTATTTGCTTTTTGATACAAAAATAATCAAATAATCAATGTGACTGTATATAAAACATACACATTATTTAATTGTATTATTATTATTATTATTATAAAATAATATTCCAGTTCCAAAATTGCGAACATATTGGTAAAATATTGCTTCAAAAATGTTTCTCGGTTTTTTTATTAGTAATTAAATTAATGTTGAACTTGTCGGTGCAGGCTGCAACTGCATAAACATTTTATATGCATACAAAAGCAATTAAAGTTTGCAGTTTTGTTTTCTAGCCGGCTTAAGAATAATAATAAAAATGACGGTAAATGTAGCTACATGTACATCTCCTAAAATCTATACTACATAATATAGAAAACTAGAAAAACAGTGAAACCCAATATTTCTCGACTGATTTTCCCATCCAATAAGCAGTATTACCGTCCGTGGTGGCTGTTTGATGGCAGCTCATGAAGACATACGGCTCAGGCTCATGCATTCAAACATACCGATAGACAGACCGCTCATGACACAGCGCTTTGAAATTTCATCCAGCCCTTTGTTACTCTCAGCGAGGGGCGGGTGCGCAAACAACCCCGCGCGCGTATAAATGAAGCGTCTTGCGCTCAAGAGGAACCACAGAAGAGCTCCGCTCACCTCGGGAATACATCCTCCGTCCTCCAAGGAATACCAGCCCTGACGATGCTGCACATTGCCGTGTTCTCTACCGCATGCCTCATTCTTGTGGGCTGCATCAAAGCGGCATCCGCCGGTTCTGTGGTGCTCAACTCCAACGCTATTAAGGTCGGTTCAGGTGCGGCGAGTCCCGGTCAATCGGTCAGCCCGAGTCCGGATGAGTCACCTGCGGACAGCGGCAGTCTGAACTTCGCCATCGATGCACCCCAGGTAAGAATATAAACGAGCGCGTGTTATCTCAGACAGCTGCTTTTACTTTGTGGTCGTTAGACTAATAGTGTATTTCTAAACTCCAGCAGCCTTTAATCTGCGAGAGTGATGAGGAATGCGGTGGCGACGAGTTCTGCTTCCTGTCTCGCGGTGTCTGTCTCCAGTGCAAGAAGCGCAGGAAGCGCTGCATCCGGGATGCGATGTGCTGCCCTGGCAACCACTGCAGCAACGGTAAGAGCCATCTAATGAAATACGAAGAGTACAAACATTTTAGCGCTATATAGCCTAAACAAACAACAAGCAGTGTTGGCTAACATTTAAAATGTGTCTTCCTATTAGGAGTTTGTCTTCCAAACGATCCTGACATGATCCACCAGATTGGAATGGAAGAGTTTGTGTCCATCTCCCAAGAAAACTCAACTGTTGTGGTGCCACCAACAGTTGCAACTGAAGGTTCACCACAAAACCAAATGCTAAAAGGTAAACAATGATTAAAATAGCCAATGATGTATGTGTCGAATAGCTTCAAATTATTCTATGTTATTTTGACTGCATCTCAGCTGGCTGATATTTTTGAAGCTTAAATCTTCTGTTGCATCACAAAGCATGAACTTTTCAGGAATGCGACTGGTATTAAATATAGTAATATTGTTTGAGTGTAAAAGATGTGTAGGACCACTGGAGCATGTTAGCAATATAATAAAATATTATGACATTTATTTCCAAGACCAGGCTTTAAGATAAACTCAATCTTCAATGTAAAAGCGATTTTGATCTATTAAAATGGTCTCTCAGACCTCAGAAAATGTAAGTTGTGCATGGTATTCATGAGTGTTGTTTTGTTTTTAAAGGTCTGGAGGGAGAGACCTGCCTGAGATCATCAGACTGTGCTGAGGGACTCTGCTGCGCCCGTCACTTTTGGTCCAAAATCTGCAAGCCTGTCCTAAAAGAAGGCCAGGTCTGCACAAAGCACAAGAGGAAAGGCACCCATGGCTTGGAGATATTCCAGCGTTGCGATTGTGCAGAAGGTCTGTCCTGCAGAACGCAAAGAGATGGCAGCAAGTCATCACGGAGTCTGCACACTTGCCAGAGACACTGAATGAATGTTCGAGGAATTTTCTTTCACAAAGCTCCCAGAGAAGCGAGAAAAAACAAAAAAAACAAAGACTTGATCAGAGACTACGAGTGATTGAGGGAAAGCAGGACTTGGAATGGGATACTCTGTTTTTCCTCCATTTTCTTGTGTCAACATTGCAGAGTAGATATAATTGTTTCTCAACGGAACTTAAATTTTGCAGTAAATTACTGTATTATACTGTAAATAATATAAGGCAGTTGGCACTTAATTCAGATATTTTTGTCAACCCTGAAAGAAGGTGCATCAGTCTTTTGCTAGTCTGACATGTGTATACATCTGGTTTGTACAGCATATAGAGCTCATTTAAATGTCTATTTTATTCTAAATAAAGATGATATAAAAGTATACAATGTCTTAAATCATGCTTACATTAAGAAAGTGTATATATTTCACTGTGGTAGTTTCTTACGCTGCATGTAAAGAGCACACAGGTGTGGTCAGAGCTGAGGGCTGGAATGCATTCACGTCTAGAAATTTAATTAAGGTATTTAATAAGGTGTGTCCTTATTTAATAAGCCATTAGAGACCTTTCCACTACTTACAAAAAAAAAGTAAAATCCAAAGCCATTGGGTGGTCATTATTTAATTGCATCTAGGAGGCTATTTTTACTTTTTATTACTTTGAAGTCACTTTGTGTTAACAAATTTATCAACTAGAACAAGGAGATCAAAATGATCAGTGAATGATCTATTATTTTAAAAACATGTTTTTTGAAGCTTAATATACAAGAACTCAAGAAAAACTTGAAAGACCAATGTCACAAAACAAAACAAAAAAATAGCAGTAATGTAAACTAACCGGCATTGAAACGGAGATTAAAAAGCCATGCATGTCTGATTGATCTGTTTTCAAAAGCATTTATATAGACAGGTCACACATTACAAACAAGCATCTGTTTGAGGTCTGCTTGTGAATTCTGTCTGTCTCTCTCTTTGAAGGTGAGAGGCTTTAATATGGTCTAGCACGTGGAGACTGGCTATAGTCACCTTCTCTTTAAAGTTCAAGGATGCTTACTGATAGTGGCAGCGTTTAATGGCACTGTCTGCTTGTAGCCGGTGCTTCCAGTGAATCATTATGGCACGCATATCAGACTTCAAGCAATTTACTGGCTTTATACATGGTTAAATGATTATTATTAAACTCTTTTATGCTTCAATGCTGGTCATTTTAACAGTTCAAACAGAACACAATGCTGCAAAAGAGCAAATACCCTTCCTCTCAAAACACGCCCTCATTCAGAAAGTCCTTTTTGTGGGTGCTGCTTCCTTTTGCATTTCTCCCAGCTGTAATTGGAAACTTTAAGTCTTTTACCTGGAGCTGTCAAGAGAGACAAAGCAGTGGGGTAAGCATTTCAAAGCACAGGATACACAGTTTGCAATTGTCCCTTTCCCATCCATGTGCCTCGGCTGGCATTGGAGCGTCTTTCTCCCAGCTTTTGTCAATACCGTCAACAGCTTGAAGACCACAAACATCTGTGCCCCCAAGCTGCACAATGGTGCAAAAGAAACCCAAACCTCCACAGTCTGCATACAGTAAAGCAGTTAAGTCTTTGATGGCAAAAGAGTTTCGCAACAGGTCAAGGCCATTTGATCTGCTTCACTAAGAGGAATCAAGAGTCCATAAAGGATGTTTCAAGAGTACAGGCAGAAATAATCTGCAAACATGAGTGTGAAAAGGTCGATTTCCTACTTTTTTCAAACTAGGTACAATAAAGCAGCAATACTGGGGCTTCTGAACATAGTAGTGTGAATGTTTGCGAACTGCCCCTAAAGCCTGGTTCACTTTGAAGTTGAGATCAGTCAACACTTCCCGGCACATACTATTTTTCAACAAATAGTTAAGTAACTGGGGCTCACACGCGGAGTTACTTAAAAAGAACCCAAACACATTAATGTGAAATAGGCATTTACCCTCAAAAGTATGTGCCGTTGAAGGTAGTCTGGCTGTTTTCAATGACATTTGGCAAGATGAATGGGACGCATGGCTGGTTTTCACAGCTCTTTATTATAATGGCAGATATGCAGCATAAATGAATGACATTTGAGTAGTTGTCTTTAATTTTAAGGTTGTGTGTAATTACTAGTATGATCTTACCTACCTACCAGTTGCATCAAAGGGGTGAAAATACTGTTGCGGTGATTAAAACTGAACATCCTGGAATATTATGAAAATAGCCTTATTAAGCAGCATCACCTTTTCAAGAATGATTCCAATTCTGAGCTGTTTTATGATATTGTATTCAATTGCATTTAGCATTTGTGGAATTATATACCCAAGTCTCTGCAATGTGCATAAATACAGAGATGTCTCGTCTATGTCACATAGAGTAGAGGTTTGTGGGTCAGTGTTGGCTGTAGAATGGTTTGGAATGACCCTGTGCTGTTTTACTAGCTGACTGACTGCCATACTTGCAAATTACAGACAGCAAGATCCGACTGTAATGATGGCAGGCGTCACAGATATGAGCTTTTTAAGATGCATGGTTTTCAGCAGCAGACAGCAGCCTGACAGAGTCCAAACCCAGAGTTAGAGAGCAGAACGCCACCTTCTCTATGGCTCTGTTTACCTCAAATCAAAAGACTTGGATTTGAAGAGGGCATGAAACAGTTAGTCAACAACTAGGTGAATACGATAATTTTATGATATAGCATTAACAATCATTCTGAATTTTTGCCTTTTATTACTGAGTTTCCAGAGGTATCTCAAGATGACAAACACACCATATTTATAGTTGAATGACTTTCAACACTTTTCAACACTTTGAAAATTTTTGGCCTGAATCGGACAAACTCCCAGGCAAAATTCAGAGTTGCTTTGTGTAATGGAGAATTTGATGTTTAGATATTTCTCCTCAAATGCAAACGACACAATTTTTGACACAGTAAGAGTATAGAGCTATAAAAAGATTAATTATAGTATAATTAATATAACTTTAGAATTTAGAAGATTTTGAAGAGAAACATTTGAATTCATATTGAGCACTCTGACTTTTGATTAGATAATTTGGAATCTTGGTAAATCTGAGTACAATTTGATACTGTTGATATCTCTTCTGAAACTTTAGAAGAGGCCTTTTTGAAGTGTTTTAAACAGACCACAGCCACATATGCAAAAGTAATGCTTTGGTTTGGATGCTTGGCAGAAAATTAATGCAACACTTGGGTTAGTTAAATGGTAAAAAATATGTGTTAGTTTTCTAAGACATAATCTTGACACATTATCTGATTGTTTATATCATCATTAAACTAAAAGGGCTTGTTATGTCATGGAACATCTGAGAATGGTCTGAACGCTCGCTCTTGTTCCGCGCAGTTTGACGAGGTGATTTATGGCCATCTTGGTCACTAAGGCCTGTCGGCATGATTACATGATAAATATTGGTGATGTTTTGATGTCTTGTGGAAAAGTGATTTTCATTGGTGATGACAAATGACTGGCTCAGAAACAACAGTATTATGCCTTCAGAATATGATGTGAGAAAAAGAACAAACAGCCTCTCATTTTTCACTCAAGGAACACAGAACAGACGCTGGAATAGCTTTATGAAGTTTTAAGGCAAACATCACTCATGCACCTGTCATGTTTTTTTTTAGAAATCACTAAACTTGCATCTCTCAGTCACAGAAAAAAAAATAAAAAGCTATAGTTTTGCAACAATGTTTATAATTACTCCTATTTTTGTATGCTAATTAGTTACTAATTTAAAAGCTAATTTGGTTTTGGAAGTATTTGATAAGAAATGATTCATAGAGAAAATTGTAATAATCTGGTCAAATTTGAGTCATTGGTCCAATCTCTTCTGAAACAAGGTGACGTGAGAATACTGGGGTGTTTTTCTCTGGAATAAATCTTATGGATGCCATGTATGTCAGTACCATATACATTATCGGTCAATGTATTAATATTTAATTTTATTACAATCGGTGGATATTAGATAAATAATTGTGCATGCTTATCTCCTCTATTGTTTACATTTAGGTCACCTTTACAATCATTTAATGCTTACTTAAAGTTAATTTGTAAAAACACTAGCACTGTTATATGTAATTTTTTTTATCAAATCTCAAAATTAACATCCATTTTCATACTGTACATTATGATGCCATGACACCTAAATTCACATTTAAAACACTCATTCATTTTATTTTATTAACACCCATTTATTATTTTTTTAAGTATTTTAATTATTTTATTTATTTATTTTAATTTTTTTTTGTGTAACGTAGACTTTTTGTTTTTTGGCCTTAAAAAAAAAAAAAAAAGGCATCTACCAGATTATTGTATCTATTATATTTTGTTTTTATTTTTTACATCAGTGCATCCATACATATACAATCAAAATAGGAATCAACACCTTACATGCAAAAGTGATTTTGAGTGATTACTGAATAGTCTCCTATAGCAGCACTGAGCTGATAATGTGGCTGGCCGTGAGCGTATGGTTGTGTCATGTGGAGGACAGAGGCAACTTCTTTGCTGTCACCATGGTGCTGGGTGTCTCATTAGTGCAAAAGCTTCCACACCCACTCATAAAAAGTCACTATTGAGTATCAGTCCATTAGCAGGGGGGGGGGGGGGGGGGGGGTGTGGGGGGGGGGGGGGGGGGGAATGCTGGACTCCATTGTGTATTACAGGAATAGTTCACCCCACACCATAAAGTAATACAGAACTTGGACCCTTTATTCCAAGTCTTCAGATTCAGATTCAGAATTTGTATTTTATTTTATTTTTTTGTAAATATATTTCTGATCTGATCAGAATAATCTGATCAATAGGAAACACTTAAGTATTTAAATTCTTGAATCTGACTATCTTTTCAATCAGATTCAAAAATGCCTTGCACACACGCACAGTGTCATGATGAATTTGTTTACCTGCCCTTTTATAATAAGATCTGACGTTTACATATGTATTGCTTCTTATGAACACCCTTACCAAAAAGTAGTATACTTCAAGTTTATTTTATTAAGTATACTTAAGTAAATTCAAGTATATTTTTAAGTATACTTTATG